TCTATGGGATCTATGGGACCTATGAGATCTGTGGGATTTGTGGCACCCATGAGATCTATGAGATCTGTGGGATCTCTGGGATCGATGAGATCTACGCACCTATGGGATCTGTGAGATCTGTGTAACCCATGAGATGTATGGAACCCACGGGATCTACGAAATCTATGAGATTTATGCACTGATGGGATGAAGACGCCACGAGGAGCAGCAATGAAGGCTCCATGCGGGCTCATGGTCTGCAGCCCCCAGTTCTGGAGCACTGTGAGGAGGCACTGGGGGCTGTGCAGGCTCTGAGGGGCCCAAAGCGTTGTTGCCTGCATTGCAAACCTAGCACCAATGTCCACACCTCGGTCACGCATGGGGACTGTGATTCTGCAGCCTTGGCTCAACAAGGAGGAGAGGAATCCAGCTGCAAAGCCCGCGCTGAGGAGCCAACCGACCTCCTTGGAGAAAGGAAAATAGAACAGGATGAAGGGCTGTTCGTCCTCCTGCAACCTGCGTGCGATTCCTCCGTGAGTGCTTTAGGATTTGGCTGCATGGATTTCATCCCATCTTCCACATCCAGCAGCACTGAGGGACTTTTCCACCAGGAGAGATGCTCGGAAACGAATGGGAAAGCACCTCTGCCCTCTGCAGTTCATCCGACGCTCACCGTCCTCCTCCCGTTTCTTCATCCTCCATTAGGCGAGCTGTCACCCTGGGGCTCTCCTGACACCTCCAGCTTTCCCACCAGCAGACACTTTTGCCTCGTTAACTTTGCTGAGCTGCTTCACTTCATAAGGAACACCTTTTTTTTTCCTTTTCTTTTTCCCCCTCACTGCGCTGTATTTAATTGTTAAGGCATAAAAATAACACCTTGCACACGCGAGGCAGCCATGGGCACAGGGCGTGCAGAGCAAGTGCTTGAGCTTAGGAATCCAGAAACACAGACATTTGGAAATCCAGGCATTTGGAAATCCAGCAACAATTTAGGAACCCAGAAATGTAGAAGTGCAGGACTTTGGAAATCCTGACATCTACAAACCCACCATCTCCCAGCTGCAGGAGCAGGCGCTGTTCTCTTGGTTCCCTCCCCAATGGCCTCGTTCCAGCCACAATTAGCAGCCTCTGAGGGACTCTGGTGTCCTGTGTTACAGCTTCCTAATATAATTACAGCAGTGAATGAACAATGAATTAAATCAAGGAGAAAAGCAGGAGGAGAAACACAGTTGTGTAGCGCTGCCAGGGGTCAGAGCTCTGCTTGGCTCAAGGTAGGCAATCCCCAGGGCTTCATAAGGGCTTTTCTTCTCCGTGTCCTGACCAGAAGTTGTTTCCTCAGCACAGGAATGGCAGCCTGGGATGTGGGGCAAAGAGGAGGGCTGGTGGGCCTGAGCTTGGGGGGATGGGGGAATGGATGGAGGAAGGGATGGATGGAGGAAGGGATGGATGGAGGGAGGGAGGGATGGAGGGATGGAGGGATGGAGGGATGGAGGGATGGAGGGATGGAGGGATGGAGGGATGGATGGAGGGAGGGAGGGATGGATGGATGGATGGATGGATGGATGGATGGATGGATGGATGGAGGGAGGGAGGGAGGGAGGGATGGACAGATGGATTTATGGATGGATGGATGGATGGATGGATGGATGGATGGATAAATGGGTGGATAAATGGACAGATATGTAACACCACAGCTGCAAGACCTTACAACAGTGATAGGGGATTTTATTTTAAAGCAGATTTCATTTGCTTGGAGTCCCAGAACAAGGTGCCCATCCAGCACCCAGACAGAGCCGAGCGGAGGGGGTTCATCCCTTCCTCAAGAGACGATCTTTTCCATTGTAAGAGCAAAGCTCTGATGCATACTGACATCCCTGCTGGCGTTTGCTTTCCTGCTCCGCTGGCCTGCAACAGGCACGCTTTTTATTTTCTGGGCCTCAAGGTGGTGAAACGCAAAGAGCTGCCTGCACCTTGGCGACAGCAGGTCGTGTAGCAGCTGATGCACCTTCAGACCTGCAGGACGTCCCCTGGCTTCGGTAGCAAACCAGAAGGACCTGGGGGCTTTGGGATGGATGCAAGGTTTCTCTGACCCAGGACGAGAGCCATGCTGTGTGCTCAGGGCTCCCTTACACACAGGGACGGAGCTGAAAGGATCCCTTCATCAGCACTGGAAAGTTCCCTTGGTGGAAACCGGCCATGGGCAGGGAAGGCGTCGAAGAGGCTGCGTGTGTCCCCCTGGCTCTGCAGGATGCTTGGAAACGTTGGATTGGTGACAGCAGCTGCTTCTGCCTTTGGGAAACACAGCCCTAATTCTCACCACAGTGCAAACAGGGCTGCCAGGAGCGCGCTGCAGTTGTGGAAATCCAAAGGTTGGAAACAACCCAGTGAGCACTGAGGCCATTCTGCTTCCATGCTTGCAGCCCTCTCCAAAAGCTTCGCCTCCCCCCCGAGATCCTCCAACCGAAAAATAACCCCAGATACTTTCTGCAATGTATTCTGAGTACATTAATTACAGGAAAGAGAAATGCCTGTGCTTCCAGTTACTGCGTGGTGGTGAAAAATGACTGAGTGTAAAACATGTCTGCGAGATAATTAACTTCATAGATAATTTCTTCTTCATTTTGACTCAATTACTTCCTTGATATGAGAAAGTGCTGAAAACACTATTATTTCTTTTTTTTTTCTTTTTTTTTTCTTTTTTTCCTGGATGTTGCACGAAACAATAATTGAAGAAAGCTGGTGGAGCTTTTTGCAGCGAGAGCCCTTTCCTTAGATAAAGGAGCAGGGAAATGTTTGCCTTTAGCTGTGGCTCTGGGGTCAGAGTGCAGCTTGGCACCGCTGAGCGGTGAGAGGTGCTCTGTGCTTTGCTGCATGGAAGGGCTCAGAGGCTTTGCACCGTGCTGTGCAATGCATTCTGCTGCTCCTGCTGCCTGCATCTCGCGGCTCCAGCAACGCCAAGCACTTCTCCAAGCTTTGTGCCCAAGTCACAGCAAACCATCTGATTGTAACAGATTAATCCATTAGGATTAATCTCCTGTTAATTGGGTGGAAGCTTCCACATTGCAGCTGTGCCTGCACCCGACCAGCTAGAAGGCAATCTAAATACAAGCAAGCAATTTAACCTAGTTGGAGACCAAAACATCTCGCTCGACGCTGCACAGCAGCCTCGCAGCCCTTTGCTCCCAGTTGTCAGCTCTGCAGCCAACGGGTGACACTTGGGGACGGGGCAGGGCAGAGGGGATGGAGCGCTCGTGCCCTGCTGGGTCGCTCCTTCCTCCCTGGGGCTCTCACCTCTGCTCTGCTGCTTGCTGCCGTAAATGGAGCTCAGCAGCAGGCTGGCTCGAGGCCCCGAGCTTGCTTTCTGCTCACAGCCTTCTTTAAAGCAGGAGAAATCCTCCCTGCGCCGCTCGCAGGAAATGCCAGCCGGTGGGAGCGCTGAAATCGCAGCGAGCGTTTGCAGTGATATTTATAAAAATAGCTTCAGTTTGTACCCAAAATAAAAAGCACAAAACTGAGGTACCATCCAAGCTGGGGAGTGGGGAGCACTTTCTGGAAAGCTGACGTTAATAGAGCTGCAATTTGCTGGGATGGGGCCAGAGCAGAAATCTAGCTGGGGTGGGGGGTGGGGGGCACTGAGAAGGGCTCCAGGGCTGAGAGTGCAACCTCTCCTCTTTTGCTGCCTGAATTACATCCACCAAAGCTCTTTGCTTCACTTTCAGCCTTGGGTTACATCTGCATTTCCATGCTTGATGTGCAAAGAGCTCCCGGGTGT